TAGAGCAAAAAATTAGCAAAAAAATAACCCTTCAAGAATATGTACTTGATTTTTCATTTGCTGCTTTTTTTCTTTGTGGCTGTGCTAACTTTGATCTTAAGCTAGCACAGCCATGGGTTTTAGCGAATCGGCTGGAGCAAAAAAATCGGGAATAGAGCAAAAAAATAGCAAAAAAATGTGGTATAGGTCGCGTTTGATTGTGCTGAAGTGGCTGTGCCAGCTTAATAGACGTCTCGACTTCATGTGGTGTGCGCGTCAGTCTCTAATAAATAGTAATTAGCGAGCCGGTATAATTAATACAGAGCAATTCCAGTAGGGGGCACAAAACATCGCGCAGTCGTCGCGCCTCTATCTGCAATCGTCTCCGGTCAACCAACCGACCCAGGGACTCGCCCACTATTTTCCACACCCTCTACATCCCTCGTCACCCCTTCCTTAATACTCATTTCTCTCGTGTGTGCAATGACCTCGGTGCTAATGCGACGATTATACTAATAAAATTTCCGTCCACTTTACGGCCTCTATCTCGGCAAGACATTAGGAAGCGAGGAACCCCAGAAGAAAGCAAACATTCGTCCGCGCCTTTCTCCCCCTCATGAGCAAACAACGGCTCGTAGATCGAGTTCATCCTTCACAGGATGCAAAAGTTCGGAGCGGAGAAGGCGCGGTAGAAATTCCTGTTGGAACTCGAAACGATTAAAGGGGTTCCTTTGAAGCATCATATCGCGGGGTGATACCTTTTGGAAAATCAGCTAGGGTAAAACGATGTATGACGCTCTCCCCTTCGGGCAGCTAATGACCTCGCGTCTAATTTCAATGTAATTCATGTTCAGTTTGATATTTTAATATAATTCATATTCAGTTTGATATTTTAACGTAATTCATGTTCAATTTGATATTGTGGATTATTAAGTAAACTCATTTATTCTGAAGCTTGATCATTAAAGCAGTATTTTACGTGTTTCCGTTATTTCTATTCTTGTAATATAATATTTAGACCTTAATATTATATTTACCCGTGTCTACAGAGACTGCGCCATTGCAAATTAAAAATGTATCATTGTAGTTTTTTTTTTACATAAAAAAAGCTTTTAATAGGAAGGTCTGTACATATACCATGTAGTGTTATACGCTCGGCGGCATCTTTTTTGTCATAAAGTCGTTGGACAAACAAGTTTCATTTGAAGTTATATTCATAATTATCTTAGCAAATGCCTCTTAACGAGAGAAAGAGATGCGCGGGGAAACCGAGTGAGTGTTCGCGTACGCTCCGTAAACTTTACAGAACTATGGGTGGCCACTTGTACTTAGAGCAAAGTTACGAAGTGTCATTAACCAACTGTATGTAACTTACTTAGTCCGGGTGCATCTCCAATCTGTTCATTACATGACTTTCTCTTGCTATACTCACTTCATAAGCAGCTACGTTATTCCTGGTGCTAAGTCAGTCTTATCTCTTAATATTATAATGTAAATTCTTATATAAATTGTTATGTTCTTGGGAATCTCATGATGTTTTCGAAATTAGTTTGAACATTTCTCATATAATACCTGTGTAACGGAAAATTAATGAAATAGTTATCTTTATTCAATATAAATGCAATCGTTGATATGGCGAAATTATTAGAAATCTCCCCAGAGTAACCCTCTATTACTTATTCACATGAATTTCGATGAGCATATCCCGCGAAAAAGGCATTGAGGGAGTTATCTGCTGCGCACCGCATCGTTATTGCACGACACCGTTACTCCCGGAGGTGCAACAATAATTATTTCTAATTTCCAGTTATGCAAAAATGCGTGAAGCTTAAGTACCCCAGATAATAATATCGGTCTCTCCCTAGACAGTCCCAGAGGTAACGTGAATTTTTTCTTGTAAATTATCTCTTCACATCGAGAGTAAAAGTAATCTATCGAAATATTTTCAATAAATCGAACCTATATAATTTTTCATATACGCGTTTTAAATAATTTTGGTTTGTATATTGTATTTGTACATAAAATATATCGAGTTTTCGTATCTTTTATAATATCTCTCGTGATACTAATGAAAAGTATCATATTAAACAAGCAATGATTTGTAATTAATACGTAATATCAAACTTGTAATAAAATCTAACTGAATTCAATGCAAATGTGTATGTGTGCGTCAAACTGTCATTCGTTTGCATATTTCGAGGAAGCTACGCATGACATTATAGATTTGCTGATAAGGGCGTCTATAAACAATAAAAATTTTGTACGTACAATAAAGAATGCGAACTAAAACCATCATTACATAATCATAATAGAAAATACGTAAACGTTTTAAATAATATATGATAATATAACAGGAAATGTATGAACATCATATGGAAGCTACTTTATTATTCGTAAAAATTATCGTTTTTATAGACATATCGCAATGTCTATTTAAATGAGTTACCTTTTTTGAGCATGATATTATTTGGAAAATATTGCGTTTTGTGTTCCATTTTGATCTTCACCGTTGTTTCATTCGACATTTCTAAAATTTTAGCGCTTCAATACATCTTGACGAATGCAATGGGATTCATCATGCTAATTTGCCTGCGTATTTACGATTTCTATGGTACTTGAACGCTAAATATTTCATTGTGTGCGCGTAAATGATGTAACTTTCAATAATTTTCCTGTAACAGATTCGATACCCTGGGTATGCATACTTTATCGTGGGATCACATTATATTCATACAAAGCATGGTGCTATCCGAAGAGTTGTCTACATATTGAGCTCTGTGTTTATAACAGCGCGTGGCTCGCATTAATTAGTAATTGACGCGAAATCAATATTAAATCACGTTGGTTGAACTAAAAGCACGTGCAATTCTTTGCGTTCGGTCAAACTTTGCGCTCCGTTAAAACGATACGGATTATCGAGAATGCATTACAATAAATTCTCGTGTAAGCATAGTGAGCCATGTGAGCATTCGATATACTGGCAAAATGCTTCTCGTAAAATTCGAGTGATCCCATGAAAATAAAGTGCGCCGAATAGCGTTTCGTTTGTATTTCCATAAAAGACCAGGGATCTACGTATTTTCGGTATCTTTTTCGTTTTATCAGTAAATTCATAATACTTTTTAGTAGGCAAACGATTATTTTAAACTTACATTATACTATTCGAAAAAAATGACTTTTTCTCTGTGAAGTAGTCATAATACCCCGAAGATTTTTTCGCATTAAACACGATGCCATCGTCAGAATTTGCGTAGCACATCAGAATTTTTAGTAAATTGGGATGAAATGATACATCACCCTATTATCCAATTTACTAAAAATCCTAATGTGCTACGCAAATTCTACACTGAAAAAAAAATATAATCAATTTTAATAAATATTTAGTTCAGTAAAAGCAATACTGCCAACTAAACATTTACTTATAGTAAATAAATATTTGTTCAGTAAAAAGAATGATTGTTAAATCAAATTAATGTTTCTTGTATCAAATAAATATATCTTTATATTTAATAAATATTTGGTTGGCAGTATTGAACTAAATATTTGTTAAAATTGATTATATTTTTTTTCAGTATACCAACGGCATCGTGTTCAGTGCGAAAAAATTTGGGGTATTATATGGCACTTCAAAGGATAAAATGATTTTTGTTGAATTATAGTTATACAGAAAATCTAAAGTTTAACAGTCATAATTTGTTGAAAATAAGTCGCACGATCATGAACTAAAATTCATTTGAAAGCTCTTAAATTATGCCTACTTTTAGATACTCTAGAGTTTAGGGCCTAGACTTTATTTAGAGACCAGTTTTTATTTTGCTATAAAAAATGTTAAAGATAGCTAAAAAGTCATTTTTTGTCTATTTTACCCTAATTTGCGCAAAATCCTGATTTGCTGTGCGAATTCTACTAAACGATATTGAATTCAGAGCAAGAAAATCTTCGGAATATGTACCGTGATATTTCGAAGAGAATTTTGGTGTTGTTCTCGGCAGATTAAACATGCGTATCATTATGTGTTCACTAAAATTTCCGATGATTTTAAGAAATCGAATAATTGCATATATTAATATATATTAACGAGTTGCTTGTATAGGAATAATTATAACAAAAAATTACGTACCTATAATCAAACGTTGCAAATTATAATACCGGCAACCTCATTAACTATCGCCGCACACGAATAATCGCGCTTGGTAATATGTTGCCTTTCTATTATTATACAAGTGTTTAGCGCAGTGATACGTGAATCGAATGCGACCGTACGTTAATCGCACGTGCATGTAATCTCCGTGCACATGCGCGCTTCTGTATTCAGTATCGTCACGGCCAGTACAAACGATGTTTAGTCGCAGGAATATACTAATGGTATGTACATAGAAATATAGAGAAACGAATATACGCTGAGTATATTTACAATGAATTAACGGGTGCTTTAATGCAAACCTCCCCCTTGATCTACACCCCATTAGTTTAAACAGATACCCCATACCATCGCGTACACATCTGCACATCTACATAATTGGCGCTGGA